GACAAATTAGGCAAGCTTTCAATGGTGGATCAAATCAAATCCCATGGCATTGATGTGTAAAGATTCAAAGCATAATTCTTGACCTAATGCATTGCATATTACATATACAAGTCAAAGCACACGAAATTGAGACCTCGAGGCTGCAAGAACACTGAAAACAAAACTTGGAAAAAGTGGTGAAAAGTGCAAAACTGAAATCACACTTAGAGGCGTTTATAGAAGAAAAACTCAACATCAATCGATTGTTGGGTGTCTACTCAACCTTCTGCAATCCAAAGCAAGCTCTCATACGCATCAAAACGCACTGTAAGTATCACGTTTCTTGGCCCTATTTTCAAAATCGTAGCTCTCTATTTTTGCATCATTCTGGCACATCATGGACACATTTGTGATGCTTATGAGATTTTTGAACTTTTGGCAATATTTGATTTCATTTATATGGACTGTAACCCCATAGTCGAATCTAGGGTTTTGTGGTTTGTTTTTTGGGCGTTTCTTTTACAGGCAAAATTAGCTCCATTGATGGCCATAAACATGACCGAAAGAGAAGGACGAACACAACCATGGTCTTGGGAGGAATTTTTATGGCCTAGATTTAATTTTGGGATTAACCTACGAATTTAGCTGCGGATCTAAATCCGCAGGTAAATTTACAGGGTTTGAAGGTCAGGGATAACAAACGTGTCTCCCTCTGAGTGGACCATTCAAACTTGGCGCGTTTTTTTTATATTTTCTGGCATATTAATCCATTATCCCATATTATTATTATTGATTAATATATTGACAAATAGAACAAAGTGGCGCAGTGGTAGTGGCGTGCATCCAATATCCAACAGGACCTGGGTTCGAATCCCAGGTCCCCCATATGCCTTGTTATTTTTCTCTCTTCATGTAATCAAGTGCAGATCCAGGTTAGTGGCACACCATACACCATCAAATATCAAACGCCAGATGGCCCAAGGCCAAATCTGGCAATCCAGGGATGATGGTCTACTATGGGATCTAATCAACCAGCACACACTGAATCAGGAAAGTCAACAAGGGGCCAACTCAATTGGGCCATAGAATTGCTATCCAGACCTCCAAAAATCAGGCCGAAACACTCTCTTCTCTACATTTATTTTATTCTTGTTTTATTTAATTATTTTCATTATTTTCTAACCAAACAATTTTCTTTGTTTTCTTTAATAAAATTAAAAAAACCAAAAAATATTTTCTTTATTAAAATTAAATTTTAGTATTTTCTTTTTATTAACAAATCAATTAATTAATTTAGTTTTAATTAGGATAACTTTAATATATTTTGTAAACAATTAAAATTAACTTAGACAATTAGGTTTTTATTAACATTGATTAAATTTATTTTTATTTCTTTAAATAACAAAAAACCAAAAATATTTATTTTCATTAATTAATTGATTTCTTTATTAATTTAATAATTAACTTAGTTTAATTTCTAATAAAATTCAAAAATAACCAAAAAAATCTTTTCTTTAATAATTAAAGGGTCAAAACCCTAGAACTTGCGCCCGATTTAATTTCTCGTACGCGATCCATTTTACTCAATATTGTACTTGTTACCGGAATGTAATACCTTAATAAGACTTTAAATATTTTTATTGCTTTATTTATTTTCCGCATTTAAATTTCAAAGGGTTGTTTTTGACGATGTAAATACCCGACGCCTTGTAATTTAATTTCCGCAATTTATTTTCTGCAAAATATAATTGTTAGATGTTTGATAATAGGTATGCATGACAAGAATGGATGTTTAACCTAAAATCAACTTAGATAACCATTAACATGTACAAAGACAAAATTAACTGAAAACAACACACTCCCACATGCGCACTCTTAGGGTACACCCCACTTGGTTGCCTTCGTAACGCGGTCATTGAGTATAGGAAGTTTTAGAGGTCGCCCTCTCGTCCAAAGATCATAGTTGTCTCAAAACGGTTGCCTCGGATAAAATGATCTAAGACATTAGGGTTACCGCTAATGCGTCCTAACATTGCTTTAGTGACCGCACGTCCCTTAATCGAATTGACCTTTAAAACTCCAACGACGGTGCTACCTACTCATAAATAGTAGGATAGAATTGTCTAAGGGAAGATAACATAGAACGATTCCTTTTTCGAGTAGGTAGATGGTTCTTAGATACTTGCTCTTTCAAAACAAAACAAATTTTCACACTTACACTCCTTTTCAAACAAAAACTCTTTCAAACCCACAAGCACAAAGAAAGCAAATTTTGAAAACAATATGAGCAAGTACCTAAGAGCCCGTGGATAACCACAGATAGAAAGGGTGCTAACACCTTCCCTTTTTATAATCTACCCCCCGAACCCGAGAAATAATCTCAAAAAAGGAATTTTTCTGTGCTTTTTTCCTTTCCTTGTTGGATAAAATAAAAGTCAGTGGCGACTCTTGCTTACCGCGACATTTTGCAAACACAAACGCAAAACGCAAACCAGCATTACCAAAAACAGTCATTTCTCTCCCACCGTATCACAAAAGGTGAAGAAAGTAACCGGGAGAAACGTTCTAGGGACATCACTAAAAGAACCAAAAACAAAGAGGAGGGTTCGGGGAGAAGACAAGAATCCTCTCGACCCGCTCTGAGAGATCGGTCGCGAGAACGAGTTGCTCAAAGGCCGAGCCGACGACCTCTCGATTCAAATAAGGACCTGACGACACTGAACACAAGGAGAGGTGACATCCTGTAAGAAGTCGATCGTCTGAACTTAATTTCCAAAGCACCCATTTAAAGAGGGTGAACTCCGTAATGGGAAAAGATGTTGGGGGCTTGGTGTAGTTATCATCGGCTCCGGGGACACCACCCTGGTGATTGTCACCAATTGAAAAAAGAAATCGAGGCGTTGATACAAAGATGACATCTCTTAACCTATGTGAAAGACAATATGGCCCAACCTGAGAAAAGGGATACTCAAAGGAAGGACACAAAATCGAAAGGACCCTTCCAGAAAAAAGGGAAGGGTATTGAGGAAGTACATGTAACAATGGCAGCTCATCATATGCTCAACACCATCATCAGTGGACTTGCCGGTGGAGGAGAAACAAGATCAGCTAAGAAGAGGTATGCTCAGGTTGTAATGCACGTGTCCGAGGAGATAACCAAATGTCAAGAGAAGGATTTAAACCCGAGCTTCTCTAAGCAAGATGATGTGGGGGTTTTAGCTCATGAAAACGATTTGATGGTCATTAAGATGCAGATCCGAGATTGGAGCGTAAAAAATGTGTTGATAGACCCCGAGAGCTAGGCTGAGATACTCTACTTTGAAGCCTTCAAAGGAATAGAGTTTGACACGACCGAGTTTTTACCCTTCATTGGCACCTTGGTCGGATTCTCTGGAGAACAAGTGCAAGTGCTGGGACACCTTCCAGTGCTAACTACCTTCAGAAGTGACGGAAATGCCAAAGCTGTCAGAGTAAGGTACTTAATTGTAAACATTATCTCTCCTTTAACATCATCACAGGGAGACCATATTTTAATTCTCTGGAAGTTGTACTCTTCACCTCGTACCTCACCATGAAATACCCTTTGGGTGATGGTCGGGTTGGGGTGGTCAAAGGCAATTAAGGTTTGGCGAGAAAGTGTTACAAGGACAATTTGAAGCTAAAAAAAAGGATTCAACCCGGGGAAGCCAGGCACTATGTCATACCCCAAATTTGCCCGCCATTTTTTTTCTACCGTAAAAAATACTTTAAACATTGTTTTTATAATATTATTTGATTTTTATAGATGTTCATTCTTAAGTCCAGTCAACAATATTTTAAACTTTGTTTTCATAATATTGTTTGATTTTTATAAATATTCGCTTCCAAACCTATTTAAAAATATAATGATTCATTTCAAATTATTTGTATTTTTAAAATAGCAAATATCTGCACACCATTCATATTCCTTCAAATTGAGTTTATTTACAAATGAGTAACACAATACAATTGGTAAAAAATAAAGCTTACAAGTATAAGGTCGTGGGTTCGAATCTCTTATGGAGCACTTGTGATGTTCTTTTTTTCTTTTTGTTACTAATTTTCTTTCCTTTTTGGAAATCGGGCTTGGGCTTTTCATTCACTTTGGATAACTTACTTGTTAAGTTTGTTTAACCTAATTCTCATTTTATAGATATGACTCCTCATTGTCCTAGTTTTTCATCTAGAAAATCCACAGTTCAATCACACTCACACACTCTAGTTTTTTTCTCTCTTTTAACAAATTTCTGGTTTTCAAAATCTCTTTTACTATTGATGTTTTTGGCATATGATTTCATATGAGACCATTATCTTTTATCTTCAATTCTTTATTTTTAATCATATGATATCAAATTGATGATATTTTGGTTTATTATATTTCTTTTTGTAATAACAATTTCTTACATTCGCAGATTAACACACAAGATCCGCAAATATACACATTGCATCCAACTTATTTCTCACGATTTATAAACTTATCTTTTCACTTTTTCTTCTAAGATAAAGACTTTCTCAGTAGCCATTCACAAGAGCACTAACAATCATGCTCATAGTCTCTAACTACTGATTCTTATTTTATTCATCATTGTTATATTAAAAGCTAAAAATTCATAAATGCACTCATGTTTCTAACAAACAATATATATATATATATATATATATATATATATATATATATATATATATATATATATATATATATATATATATATATATATATATATATATGTGCGCGCGCGCATTTAACTCTTTTGAACTCCTCTTTTTTTTATCATCTATAAAATCAATCAGATTTCATGTGCCAAGTTTGTGTCCGGAAATATTATTATATTATTTTTTAATATAATGTTGAATACATGGTTACCATTCTCTTATTGTTTTTCCAGATTTTTTGGTTTATTACAAAACCTGCAATTTCAACAATCAGTGATTTCAATTTCAAAAGATAACAAAATTCAAAATACCATTATTACTGCTATTTGTTTTCTTTTGGGTTTTTCAGCATGAGAGAATATAAGAAAGACAAGAGGCAAAATCCGGAGTTCACATCGAAACTTCCCGTCTACCACGCCTCTGATTTACACCCTCCTTCCACGATTATATGCTCGAATTTGCTTGCTTTCACCGTCACAGAACAATTATCTACAAACCACCATGATCTCAAAATCCAAATCAAACCAACAACACTTTCTAATCAGAAAACAAAGAAGAAGTTGAAAACTGAAGCAACCTGAAATCATTGCAAATTCGAACGGAACCCACTCTATCCTGACCACGAGCAACTTCTCTGACGAACAGATCCTACGACCTTCAACACACTGTCATGCAAACAGTCGGCGACCACGGGATCCAACCTCGGAGTTTCAACCCACCTGCTCTGATCCGCACCAAAGGAAACCGACTAGTACTCTCCGTCATTGTGTATTATTTTTTTTTTTTGGCTTGTCAATGTTGTGGACTTATGTGAGTATATTTCTATATGTTGGTATTTGTTTGGTTTTTGAATGTGAAAGAAAAGGGTTGATTTGACAGTAAGAGACGTACAAGAAAAGGAGAAGGAAGAGATATGATATTTCTCTTTCTGATGGCTAATCATGTTATTTTAGTTTATTTTTATTTTAGTATCTTAAAATCATGGCCACGTGTCTCTTTTCTATTGAATGACGATTGGATTGAAGGATTAAGACAAATTGCAAAGGGGCTTGCACGACCTGGTTTATATTTTGGCTCACTATATTCTTATGTTTTTTTTTATTTAGTTAATATAATTAGGATTTGGTGTTCATTTGGGTTTTGGGCCCTTTTAGTCTATTTTTATGCTAAATATATTCACCTCATTCTAACTTCACACCTCTAACCTTAGAATATTTGTTTTATTTTATACTATATGATCTTGTTTTATTTAGTTTAAGATTAATTAATTAATTAGATTCTATTTAGATTAATTTAGTCTAATTTAATTTCTCATAAAAAACACAAAAAATGTCTACTTTCTAAATTAAGGTAGTCATTGTTTTAATTAATTAATTTGATTAATTTGTACATATTTTAAATCTTTGATTAAATTTCACCCTTTTTTTTAAGATCAAAATTGCTTATATTTTTAAGTAATTCGTCACCTTTCACCCAATTCAGATATTTCTCAAACAATTAATTCACACATCCTATGAATAATAGGATGTCCCTCTTCAAATAATTAAATCGGTCGACACATCATCTACTGTTTATTATTCAAAACTAAATATTAAAATCCATGCAATTCCAAATATTTCATTCGTAAGCGACACATGGCCAATATCTGGCCACGTGATGAGGAGGCTATATCAGACTCCCCCGCTCTGCGTCTTAAAACAACTAACCAATCTCAAATAGTTTTTTACTAACATAACAATAAAATTCAAGAACATTTTTCAAAAAATGATTAAATAGTGTCATCTTCGAATCAAACTGCGAACTGCGTCTACGATTACTCAACTTACAACCCATACAAGGTTCAAAGTTAATTCGAAAGCAATTCTATGCAATCTTATAAAAAACACAAACCAACCGCGAACTACGAAATGGGATTCTGATTCCTCCTAAGAGGATACGTAGGCATACGATCAAAATCGTGGCGAGTCCCCCTAACTAAAATTCAAACCCTTTTTCCCCAATAATAATTAAAACCCCTATTTCCTAAGAACGCGCTTCTAAACCTAGTATCCTTGTGAACAAGGTAGATAAGGGGTGCCTAACACCTTCCCCTTGTCTAGAACCGACTCTAAAGAACCTAGAATCTCTAACTTTTAGGGCTATTCCTTTATACTCCCTTCCTTTAGGATAAAAATTAAGGGTGACGACTCTGATTTAAAAACCAGTTGCAACAGCTGGCGACTCTGCTGGGGATTCATCCCTAGGTTTAGAAGCCTCTCCTTTAGGTTTTAGGGTTTTTCTTATTTTTTGGTTTTTCTTTATTTTGCTTTATTTTATTTATTCATTTATTTTGTTTATTATATTATATCTGCGATGGGATTTAAATTTTGCAAAATAATATTTTCAAAAAAACCTTAGAAAGAAGGTTCGTCTATTAGCCAAGGGGTTACATCAACCCTATGAGTTTATATGACGACTTCGCCTAGAATCGGTGGAATTCCACAAATGGAATACCTCTCAAGAGACATCCTCTTGGGAAGTAGGACTTTGGAATGACATCTATGACTCTTTGTACGACCATTAAATCAAAAACTCATGATGAGACCTTTCATGACCTAGAGACGAAAGTTTCGGTCTATAAAGAGGATCTGCTTAAGGGAGGCCCTTCTGCCTTTCCTTCTAGTATTATTCATGATACCCTTAAGTAAGCCACCTTATGAGAGGGTAGAATATTCGTAGGCCAAAACTAGGAAACTACCTTCTAAGGATACCTTTCACAAATTCCACTACAATCTTTAAACCCGCAAAGGTTATCTTTCCATCCACTAATATCTTTAGCCCGTAGGGCTTCCGTCTTTATAATAATCCCTAGCCTATAGGGATTCCTCATCATCTTTCATTTGCCATAATCCTTAGGGAATTCCTGTCTGTCTCAATCTCTGAGACAATGTGGGATATCTTCAAATCCATGTCTATTATTATCTCCGTCCTTAAGAAGTTTCTACCTGTCTCAATCTCTGAGTCAATGTAGGATATCATTGCGTCTATCGATAAAGTCGTATAGGGTACCCTTATGTTTATACTACATTGTGATACGGTGGCATAACCGACTATTTAATACTGGTTTGCGTTTTTTGTTCGCAAAATGTCGCGGTAAGCAAGAGTCGCCATCGACTTTTATTTTATCCAACTGGAAAGGAAAAAAGCACAGAAAAATTCCTTTTTCGAGATTTTGAGTACGGGGGGTAGATTATAGAAAGGGAAGGTATTAACACCCTTTCTATCAGTGGTTTTCCACGGGCTCTTAGGTACTTGCTCATCATTTTCAAAATTGTTTATGTGTGTTTGATTTGAAAAAGTTTTTGTTTGACTTCGATTTAACTCTTGCTTCTGTCTTCAAGAGTGTTACGAAGTGTTTTTGAAACTTTGTTTGAAAAGAGTGTAAGTGTGAAAAGTTTATTTTATTTGAGCAAGTACTTGAGAGTTAATCTCCCTACTCGAAAAAAGAATTGTTCTATGTTCGTTTCCTTTAGACAATGCTATCCTACTATTAGTGAGTAGGTAGCACAGTCGTTGGAGTTTGTAAGGGTCAATTTGAAAGGGACGTAATGGTCATTGAATGCAACATGTAAGGATACCTTAGTATTACGAAGGGACTGTCATCATATATTCGTAGGCAACATCGAGGGACAAGATCATATACCATAGACAACTTCGAGTGACATCGAGGGACCATGATCTTTATGATGATTTTAACCGAGGGTCTTTGCTAAGGGTATCCCTACGTTCGAGGGACATGACCATTATTTTCTGAGGCAACCAAGTGAAGAGTACCCTAGGAGTGAATATGTGCATATGATTTGTTTCAGTTATTTAATCTTTGCACATTAGGTGATCTATCGTTTTAATTTTCCAGACATTCTTTCCATACAATCCTATTAGCCATACATCTAAGCAGTTTATAGTTTGCATAAATAAAATGCGGAAAGTTTAAAGTCCCAGCTATTACAAGGCTTCGGGTATTTACATAGCTAAAAACAAACCCTTAAAAAATGATAAATGAAAGTAAAAGTCCTAATTAATCTATTACAACTCGTGAGCAATTATATTAATATGGTAAAATAAAATAAAGCGCGCGTGAATAAAGAACGAGAGAGAATTAGGGTTTTGACCCCGTCTAACCTAATCGAAAGAAAAAAATTTTTTTTTTTGTTTTTAATTATTTCTAAGAAAAAAGAATTAGGTTTTTTAAAATTAAATACAAAATTAATTAGTAATTAAATTAGTTTTAAAAAAATTAAATGGCATATTTTTGTGTTTTGTTATTTAAAAAAGAAGAAGATAGAATTAAGTTAGAAACAAAATCCTAATTGTTCTAATTAGTTTTAATTTATTTACAAAACAATTAAAGTTACCTAAAATTAAATTAAAACCTAAAATTAATTATTCGAGTTTATTACAAAAAAATCAAAGGTTTGTGAAAAAATGTTAAGTTTTATGAAAAAAAAGTTTTAAACAGAAAGAATAAAAATAGGTAAAAGGATAAATAGAAAGGAAGAAAACCAATACCAATAGGGGTGGTTGTTGAACCCACGCCCTTAACCTTCTCAGGATGTCTGCCTCGTCATGCATTGGTTGGTTGTTCTATTTTATCCATTAGTGTTTTGGCCTCAACGTTTCTTAACCTTCTCAGGATGTCTGCCTCACCATGTATTGGTGTCATGTGTTGGCTGTTCTATTTTGGCATTAGTCTTTTGGCCTCAACGTTCCTTAACCTTCTCAGGATGTCCGCCTCGCCATGTATTGGTGTCATGTGTTAGTTGTTCTGTTTTGGCCATTTATGTTTTGGCCTCAACATTCTGTAATGAACCTGCATGGGATCCTGTCTAAATCTGTAGTGTTGAATCTCATGAACATATTAAATAAATTACTATATATCATGAAATACAAATAAAGCCAATATATGAAAAAATTTAATGTTAAAACCGATATGGCATGTATGAATGATTATACCCTTTTGATCATGGAGATCAATCAGCCTTACCCTTACTGGAGAAGTAGTGATATGAATGCTTTTATGCCTTTTTGATCATGGAGATCAAGCCAGCCTTACCCTTACTGGAGAAGTAGTGAGATGTGGGTTTGTAATAAGGATGGCTTGTTTGTAGTGAGATGGAGGTTTGTAATAAGGATTTCAAGGTTTTAGGGTTCTTGAAATAATTTGATATTCTGACAGTGTTGTGGCAAAAGCTTCTTTTTTTCTCCTCCTTTTTTGTTTGTGTGAAAAGAATGAGATTATATAATAGATTTTAGAGAGAAAAAAATGGGCTTTGAATGTGCTATCGGGCCTCCAATATTCACTTGAGTCTGTCACGTTCTAGGAAAAATCGCAGGGGCTTAAGTGCAATTTTAGAAGTTGAAATTTGAAAACAAAATGTAGCCGACATCGAGAACTAACTCCTGTCCGAAAATGGGCTCAATCGGATAAAAGGTGAATTAGTTATGAATTTTTGAAGTTTCAACTTAGACAAACTTATTTTTGTCTCCAGTGTCGACTCTGACACGTTCTTTAATAAAAAACTGGTATTGATCAGAGTATAAT